ATTTGGGCCAGGAAGGGACAGGAGGGCCTCCGAGGTGAACAACTGGCTTAGGGTGTGGTGCCAGAAGGAACGCTTCGGGTTCCTCGACCACGGCACTCGTTTTCTTGCCAATGGGCTTCTGGCAAGGGACGGGTTGCACCTCACGAGGATGGGGAAAAGGTCCTTTGGAGATGCTCTAGCGAGCTTCGTCCAGAAGACTTTAAACTGAGCCGGGGGTGGGTTCAGGCCCCCCAGGAACGTGTCTGCACTGGACAAGTGTGGGGGGAGGATCGGGGCTCTGGGAGCAGGGTTTTAGAGATACTGCAGGGACTGACAGGACCCCTACAGAGAGGGGCCAGGTATCAGGGAGGATGGGAGGAAGGAGGAGGCTGGGAACTCCAAGGAAAGGAAGCGGTGGGAAGGAGTTGAGGTGCATGTACACCAGTGCTAGGAGCATGGGTAATAAGCAGGAAGAGCTTGAAGCTCTCCTGGGAATAGGAGGGTATGACCTGGTGGGAATCACAGAAACTTGGTGGGATGAAAGGCAAGTCTGGAATGTGAACATAGAAGGGTATTACCTTTTTAGAAAGGAAAGGAAGGGAAAGAGAGGTGGGGGGGTGGTGTTATATGTCAGGGAAGGGATAGGATGCAGTGAGACAGAATGCAGCACAGATGGGGATTCGGTAGAGGCAGTCTGGGTGAAACTTAGGGGTTTTGACAGGGAAAGAGACCTGACAGTGGGGGTATGTTATCGCCCTCCAGGTCAACTTGAGACCCTGGATGATGTCCTGACAGGCCAGATTCTAAGGATATCTCAGGGGAGAGACACAGTAATTATGGGAGATTTCAATCTCCTGGATATTACTTGGGAGACTCACTCGGCAGTGACAGCCAGGTCACGTCGCTTCCTAGAAGCTATTGAGGGAGCGTTTTTCACACAGAGGGTCCGAGAGGCGACGAGGGGGGGAAACATCCTTGACTTGGTCTTGACCAATAGGGAGGAGCTGATCGATGAAGTACAGATTTGGGGAGCTCTGGATGCGAGTGATCACTCCATCCTTTGCTTTGAGATCAGGGGACTGCGGATGGGCAGCAGGTCGAGCACTAGAAGCTGGGACTTCAAGAGGGCCAACTTTGGCCAACTGAAGGCCAGACTGGGGAAAGTCTCCTGGGACAGGTTACTGGAAGGTAAGCGAGTTGAGGAGGGGTGGATAGCACTCAAAAGGGAGGTTTTGGAGGCGCAAGTCTTGACGATACCTCTAGTCAGTAAGGTGGGGAGGCGGAGGAGAGTGCCGCCATGGATGCGAAAGGAGGTGGTTAGAGGGATTAGACGAAAGAGGAACCTCCGTAGGAAATGGGTACTGGGGCAAATAGACAAAAGGGTATACCGGGGGGAGGAGGCCCGTTGCAGAAGGATTCTTCGCAAGACTGAGGCTGATTACGAGCTGAGACTTGCCAAGAATATCAAGAGCAACAAAAAGGGCTTCTTTCAGCATGTAAATAGGAAGAGGAAGGGGAGACAAGTGGTGGGACCACTAAATAAGGAGGAAAGACATCCAGTGACTGATATGAGGAAACAGGCACAGAGGCTAAATGACTATTTTCCTCTGTGTTCTCCCCAAAGCAGGATGGGGGATATCCGCATAGGAGATTAGATGAGGCTGGGGACTTAGGGGCACAGATTAGAGTCACCCCCCTTGAAGTCGAGGGGCTCCTCAGGGCATTGGACATTACAAAGGCACCAGGCCCTGACGGGTTACACCCGAGAGTACTTAGAGAGTTGGCAGGGGTTCTCTCACGCCCGCTGGCCTCCATTTTTGAGACCTCATGGAGAACAGGTGATGTTCTAGAGGACTTGAGGGTGGCATCAATGGTCCCAATTTTCAAAAAGGGTAGTAGAAAGGCCATGGGGAATTATAGACCGGTTAGCCTTATGTCCATTGTAGGAAAAACAATGGAAAGGCTCATAATAGAGAGAGATCTAGTGATGCTAGATAGGGAAGGGAGGCTGACAGCCACACAACACGGCTTCCGCAAAAACAGGTCCTGCCAGACAAACCTTGTGGAATTCTATGACACGGTTTTGCGATGGCTAGATGGAGGGGATGCAGTGGATGTGGTATACCTGGATTTCAGCAAGGCCTTTGACAAAGTGTCCCATGATATCCTGGTGGAGAAACTGAAGATTTTTGGGATGCACCAAAGCACTGTCCGGTGGATTAGGGCATGGTTGACTGACCGAAAGCAGAAGGTAACCATTAGCGGGGAATCACTGGGATGGCGGCCAGTGACAAGCAGGGTCCCCCAGGGCTCTGTCCTGGGGCTGATCCTGTTTAATCTTTTCATTAACGACATGGAAGAAGGGGTGAACAGTCTGCTGATCAAGTTCGCAGACGACACTAAAACTGGAGCAGTGGCCACAACTGAGGAGCAGGTACTCCAGATCCAAAAGGATCTGGACAGACTATGGAAGTGGGCAGGAGACAACAGGATGGTGTTCAATGTGGATAAGTGCAAAGTCTTGCACTTGGGGCATAGGAATGGGCGTCATAAGTACAGGTTAGGCGATAAGTGGCTGGAGAGCAGCACTTGTGAAAGGGACCTCGGGGTGCTGGTTGACTGCAGGCTGAACATGAGTCAGCAGTGTGATGCGGTGGTCAAGAGGGCGAACGCCACCCTTGGTTGCATAGCCAGAAGTGTGGCTTCTAGATCGAGAGAGGTGTTACTGCCACTCTACGCGACTCTGGTGTGCCTGCAACTGGAGTATTGTGCTCAGTTTTGGGCCCCTCATTACAGGAAGGATATAGCCAGGTCAGAGTCAATGCAGCGTAGGGCCACAAGGTTGGTGATGGTTTGCAGGGGATGCCGTATGAGGTGAGACTGAGGGAACTGGGTCTCTTCAGCCTGGAGAAGAGGAGATTCAGAGGGGATATGTTGGCGACATACAGGTATGTGAGGGGATGTTACATGTAGATGGGTAGAGACCTGTTCTCTCCTGCAGAGGAAGGCAGGATGCGCTCCAATGGAGCAAAGCTGAGGGAACCAAGGTTCCATTTGGATGCCAGGAAGCACTTCCTGACAGTCAGGACCCTGAGGGTGTGGAATGGGCTTCCACGAGAGGTCGCTGAGGTGCGGGTGTTCAAGGATAGGCTGGATGTCCACATGGTGGGCACGTCATGAGCGGAGCCGGCTGGTCCCGGAGGTCAGACTAGATGGCCCAGGAGGTCCCTTCTGACTCGCTCTGTTTTCTATGTTTCTATGTTTCTAATGTTTATGGACATTCCAACTTTTCACAAGTATCTTTTATAAACCATTGGTCCATTAGACCTAAGGATGTGGAAAAGATGCTGTGTGTATGTGGGGGGGCGGGGGGAGTGGGTACAGAGAAGGAAGGAGAAAACCCTATTACAATGAAAGACAGGATAATTCTGGGTTGTTGTCAGGTTAATTCTGGGTTGTTTAACCTAGTTTCTGGGTTCACATGTAACACGTGGGTTATTAATTGAAAATGGGAGGAGCAAGGAGCATATTCATTCTAATTTACTCTGGGTTAAAAATAAACAAAACCGTGTGCCCATATGTTCTTTATTCACCATAATGTGTGAACTGGGTCTAACCCATAATTGCCCATCTTTTGTTGCCCTACCTAGGAGTTATCTGGCAGGTGATAAGGAATTCTTGTGTGGGTGGCCAGAGTCTTACTTTACAGAGGCCAGTCCTCTGTTTGATGGGCTACCCACTCCAAGTCTGCTTTAAAATTAACATACCACGTGGAGGGAAAGCAGGTCAGGATCCTCGAAGTGGCCCATCCTGACTGAGCCACTGGCTAGCCCAGGAAGCAAGCAGGGATGCAGCTCACCTGGTCGCCGTCTGGCCCATTCTTCTTGTTGTTATTAAATTTTATATCAAAGTGGTGAAAATATAGCAGTACCCACACGATAAACATAGCAATCAAAACAGGACAGAAGTGAATCAGCCAAGAGCACGCGCACTGCTGGGAGCTGCGAACCAGCTCGGGCTGACTCACCCGCCAGGGAATGCCTGTGCAAAGAGACGCGTTTGATCTGTCACGAGTTGCCCCCAATTCCTGCTTCAATGGCTATTTCTCAATTTGCACCGATGCACAAACATTTGCACATAGTAGGCTCACTCACGCACCCCCATGTCCCTTTCTGTGGTGATGCATTGGGCCTTTCTGGCCCAAATGCCTCGCCCTACTTTGGGTTCACGTCCCCCTCCACTTCCTCCCAGGCAGGCTAGATGCTCATGGTCACCCTGCCCTCCAGGGCCGCCATTCGCTCGTCTCCCTCCCAAGGGCCACTTGTCTTTGCCCCCCCCCCCCCCCCCCCCCGGTAAGGAAACCTCAGTAAGATCCCCAAACCGTAATCAGCTCTGCACTACCTAACACTGGCTGCCATGCACAGCCCTGAAAGAGCTGCTGTACCGGAGGGTTGATTGCACCCCCTGCATCTGGGGCAGCCCCACTGTGTCTGCACGGCATTCAGCCCTCCACCCCTCCTCAGCCCCCGGTTTCTGCTCCCCTGGGAAGCAGCTTTTCTCAACACCCTGCAGCATAGGAAGCCTTCCCGTCGTCACGGGCCCTTCCCACGTCCTCAGCCAGGCTCCCCTCGTCCCAGCCAGCACCCTAAAGCCAGGCCACCCGGAGGGCTGGGCTTTAGGGAACGCTGCCTGGTGCCCTGGAAAGCCAGTGTGATGTGGGGCTGGGAACCAGGAAGATCTGGGCGCTAGTCCTCACCAGACCATGATGCTCACGGGGTGGCTTTGGGCCAGTCACTCAGGTTCAACCTCACAGGGTTGTTATTGTGAAGAAAAGTGGAGAGGAGTTCGTGTAAGCTGCTTTGGGCTGCTTGCAAGAGCGAAACAGATGGGGCACAGTTGCCATTGTGCTAATACCCAAGCGGGAGTGAGGGGGCTTCAGGCTTCCAGAATTTACTTTGCTGTATTTTCACTATGACCCTTGGATTCACAAGCAAGCCTGGCACAGAAAGGAGATTTAGGGCATGATCCTGGGCACCTCTCAACAGAAAAAGTCCCACAATTCCCAGCATCCCCCAGCTAGCCAGTAGGATTCATGGTTCTTTTCTTCTGCCTCTTTACGCTGAGAGATTTTCATAGCATGGCAGCAATTCCCAGATCGCTGAACCCAGGAATTACTGAAGCGTGGGAGCCACCACAGGTCACTTGCACTTCGAATTGCCAATGGGTTGTTTGGGCTGTGTGAACCTGGAAATTCTGAGTTGTTTAGAGGTTAAAGTGAACCCCAAAGTTAACCCAATCACAAATCATGTTTAACTCTTATGTAATGCAAAATGTCTGGGTTTGCACATCAGAAACAGCCCAGGAACAGTGTAGGCTGAAAGCAGAAATGGCTTGCCTGATCCACTTCTTCCCACCCATTTCTAGGTTAAGCAACCCAGGAACTGCAGCGGTGATGTGCAAACCAGATGCCCCCCCCCCCCCCCCCGGTCATGGGAGAAGCTTCCTGGCTATGTGGGAATTCCAACCTGGGTTGTCCCACTCTTGCCCCAAAGCTCAGGATGCAGAAATCCACTAGAAAAACTCCGGAAGGATCTCTCCCAACTGGGTGAGGAATGAGCACAGCAGCGGGGGGAAATCGAAGGAGATCCAAAATATTAAGGGGCAACCCCCCACCCCCCATTTCCCAGATAAACCAGGGATGCCGAGCTGACGCTGCTACCCGCGAAGGCGGCCGGCTCTCGAGGCACGCGCCGGCGACCCCAAGCGTTGCTTTCCCCATTGAGAAGAAGGAAGCAGGCTAATCGCGCCCATTCGCGGAGCGCTGCGCGGTGCCACCGGCGCCCCCCGCCAGCAGCGGCGCCACGGAAGGGGGGCGGACGCGCGCGGCACCTCCCCGGGGCTCCTGCTCCCCGCGGGGCGCGCCGACAAAGGCGCCCGCTGCGCGCCCCGCAGCCCCTCGCGGCGGCCTCCGGGCCGCTCTCTGCGCGCCCCCGCGCGGGGGCTCGCCTGGCGCGGCGTCTCGGGCGGGAGGAGGCAGGGCGAGGCGGAGGGGCCGGGAGCCGGGGGAGG